AAAATTTCACTGAATTTTCTTTGGGCGACCGATAAAATTAATAATAAAATATATATTTGCATCGGGTTGTCTAATCATAAGGTATCGTTTAGACGACTCTTGAACAAAATTTCTGTGTTCCCCAAAAAAAGCACATAAGGGCCCTTTATTTGGGAATTTTTCGGTGACGTTGAAATGAATATTAGATCTTTTATGTAGCGAGTCCGTTCGATACGAGAGTATCGAAGCGTCCATGGAAATCGATTATGGGAGCAGTGCCAATCCGATTGATCAGCGACGATCAACGCCGCCCAACGTTCATTCAACGTTAATTGAAAACTATTAATATCCGCAGCCGGAATGCGCGACTCGAAGAGGCAGAGATTTCGGATGTTTTGACTGATGGCGTCCAATTAAACTGCAACACGTCTGGAACGTTTTTGTTGTTTTTTTTCCAGTATCCGCTTTTTTGGACAACGGCCAACGCAACGCCTCGCGTAGAATCACACGTTTACAACGCGTCCCGGCGCTAGCGCAGGTGTTTGTTTATCTCTTTTCTCGTTTCTTTTCGTAATCTGCGCTGATGGATATCAATTCTGCCGTGCTAAGAAAGAACGCCGTATGAACATTCGAGAGTTGCCGAATTTCCCTGCATAAAACAGGTATTTTTGACGCAATTTACTCATATTTTTCCTTGAGATTCTCAGATATTTTAGATTAAATTGCGTACAAAATTGTCTGAAAATTTTGGGGGGAAATATTTACAATTTTCCCAGTAAATTCTGTCTTTATCGAAGGAAATTCGGCAACGCCTGAAGGCTCATATGGACGGCTACTTCCTTAGGACGGCAGAATTGCGATGCGTAAATTATCGATAATCGATATTTCCCTATATGAAGCTGTGGAAAAGAATCGATTATTATGGTGTTCGTTGCGAATGCCCTGTTTACCGATCCTTTTCCATAGGTTTAAATGGCAGACCAATCGATGTATCGCAAAGCACGCCACGCCACTGATGGATACTGATCTCGCTGCCTGCGTTCTTGTCCGATCGACAAACGACAAGGATTAATCGGTCTTGAACGCTGAGCCCCTTCGTCTTTAGCATATAAAACACTTCTAAACAAATATTGTACTGACTCGCGTCTAAAAAAGTGCAACGTTTCTGACAGAATCAAGAATAATGAGGTTGGAGGCCTCTTGTACTGTAATTGCTCACTGAGAAACAAGTTGGTCTTAAAAATGTTTTATTTTGATATTTAAGACACAACATTATAAGGAATCAGTAAAATTTGATTCTAAGCAAGTTTAGAAAATAATGCAATGGAGAATTTGCAAGGGTCTGAAATTTGATGAATTTCCTGTTTAAGTGGAATCCTCTGAGTGAACTGAACACGAAGATACCCTTGATTCATAAATTGAGCAATTATTAGAGGAGATATGACAAAATAACCGATTCTGCTAAAATACATGTTTTTTTTTTTTTTTATATCAGGGACACTCCCCTTCTATCTTTATTATCGTATTTAAATATTACATATATTACATAAGATAAGTATATAACATAAGATAAGTATTGTTAAAGATATTTAGGCATATAAATAACAACTTAATTACTTGATATACGATAAAAGGACGGCAAATATCAAGGATAGCTAAAATACATGTGTTTAAATGGGAAATGCCGCCAGATGACGTCACAAGGCGGCACATTTTCTCACTTTTAAATCAATTTTTCTCCAATTTCCCATGTCAGAAAAAAATTATGAAAAATATTGCGAACTCAGCTTATTAGGCACTTTCAGATGAAGCAATAAAAAAATTGCGTGCAAATTCTCCATTGCAAGCAATTTGGGAGTTCTTAGCTGTAAAAATTGTCTTTTAAATGAGAGGCTCGGGACGGTGGCGAGGCTTGAATGATCGGTTATCGATATTTTCCCATTGGAAGCTATGGTAAAGAATCGATCTTAATGTGTTCGCTGCGAACACCCTACGAATCGATACTTATCCATTAGTTTAAATGGCAAATCAATCGATATATCGCAAAGCATGCCACGTCACTGGCTTACTGGATACTGTATACTAAAAGTAAAGTAGACTAGTAGTAAATTCAACTGTATACTAGTAGTAAATGAAAATTTACGCCGCCATTTTATTCTTTTACGGAGAAAATATAAGTTGAATCTGTTCGAAAATTTCACTGAATTTTATCAGTCGCCCACAGAAAATTCACTGAAATTTTCGGACAGCTTCCTCGAACAATTTCCCTGTAAAAAAATAAAATGACGGCGAAAATTTCGAAACGTCGCATGGCGCGTGTGATACTTTGGCCAGAAAATAACGATATTACGTGCACCTTTCATTCATACCTTGTCTCGTAACCAGCTCGTAACCCATTCCACCATGTTCTGAGAAAAATAATTTAAAAAAATAAATAACGTGGCAATGGAGGAAACAGGTGTGGTTGTGTGGGTGTCACGAGATGGGACAGCCTGTAGCGAAGACTGAAGGAAGGGGAGGGGGGAGGGGGGATATGAATCAGCTCCGAAGCAATTAAGACAGGCGCAAAATGTTCTGCGAGGAATGCACTGCAGAGGTGGATTAATGAATAAGAAATGGACGTATTTCTGCGAAACGGAACTAAGTGCATCGAGACATGAGACCTGAGACCCATAAGAATATATACATAACAGGGCTCACGTCATAATGTACATAGTTCCGTCTGGCAGAAATACGTCCAAATAAGCGTTTCGCATCTCCGCATCCCGTCTCGTTTCGCATTGGCGCACAGTGGGTCGAGTCATTCGGACTAAATTTGGAAACTTTAAAAGCTTACAACTCCGTTTTTACAAAATTTTAAGGTTCCAAGAGTGGTTCCTCGGGAAATTTTCATCCAGAAGCGCCACTTTAATTTAAATTATGACGAAATAAACATCAAAATTTGCAGTTTTAGTCAAAAATTTCATGTCCGACCTCGACACTGATTGACTCGATCCACTGTGCGGCGTCGGAGTTGTAAATGGCTCGGCTTCGAGTTGATTTTCGCGACGAAAGCGAGAGTGGTCAGTCCGGATCCCGAATAGTTTTCCGCGGTCGGGATCGCTTTTAATGGAAAAGGCAACCGAGAAAACGGAGAAATTTGCCCACACACAGTCGTAGATCAAACGGCTAGAATTCGACTATTAACTTGCCGACTTATTCCCACCACATTACCACATTCATTCAATAATTCATTTGGACGTATATCTGCCAAACGGAACTGAATCAGTGAGTTCGAAAACACACAGCAAACTCGGAAAAAAAAATTGTTCAGGAAACGCCTAAAACTGCGCAGCGGGCGAAGAAGTTAGTTTAAGAAAAATCTTTTTGGTGCCAAAGGACAAGTACTTAGAGACTTTGTAAAGCACCAAGTTGAAATCGATACACCACGTTTGATGACGGAGAATTAAGCGTTTAAAAATTTCCGAGTTGGTGTATTTTCGTTCTCACCGACTTTCAGGTACTGATTTTTCATGGTCTGCCCTGAAAAATGTATATTTTTCGACCTGAATAACGCTTGAATATTTATACAACTTGTTGGTACAATGTAGGTATGCTGAACCGAAAAAAGAAAACCGCAAAATCGGATGGTCACCCGTTTCCCTTGAAATGGCCAAAAATTGGTACCTATTTTCAATGAAATACCACGATTATTCCCTTTTCCCGTCGCTGTTTCGAGCACTTCCGATTGCAATTTCGAAATTTCCTTTTGCGTGCAGATGCTTATATCCATAAGTGTTACTAAACCGTAAAAAAGTGTAAATCTAAAAAAACCCGAGTTGGTGTGTTTTCGAACTCACTGATTCAATTATTCAAAATGATGACAGAGTCTAAAAAAGCATCTTATTCTTGCTATATTCAAGAATTATTATCCTTCTACTGACAATGAGGAGGAATGAGACAGTTTTTTACCCTCCTGGAAAATCGTGTTCTCCGCGAGGTATGCTCTTCTGCACTTTCACCATCGATTAGTACCTAACACGGAGCGGTGGCATGCTGCTAGCGCGAAACGCCCATTGGCGCCTACAAACCTAAGGGGATACTTCAAGCATTGCGCAATGCGTGAAGTATCCTTGTTGTAGGTTTGTGGGCGCTAGTGACAGAACAGGTTAGGTTTAATTTAGGCAAAATTTAGGAGAGTTGTGAATATTTTCTCTTGAAATTTTTGGATACTTTAGATTCAATTACGAGTAAATTCTTAGAAACATTTTTTTTTTTTTTTTTTTTTTTTTTTTTTTTTTTTTTTTTTTTTTTTTTTTTTAAGACTCTTGAAAACATTGACAAGAAAAAGGACTCCTGATTCAATCAGATTTAAGCTTAAATCAATAGGAAATCCGCTCAAATTAAGAGGCTTGGTTCTTTATTTAAGCTTGAATCTGATTAAATCAAAAGTATTTTCTCTTGTCGATGTTTTTAAGAGTTTTTTTTTTTTTTTTATTTATTAAACATATCAACTTCTGTACAGAAATAAGATATTTAGATGTAACTTAAAAATAAATAACGGTTATCGACTGAAAATATATACAATTATACAGACTTTTTCCTAACTTGGATGCCCTGGGACGAGCATCGCAGAGCCCATAGAGAACGGTATAGTTCCCGGTATCTGCGGTGTCCGACCCCGAACAACCGGAACAGCATTATACTAACCACACAGTGATGAGTATAAATAGAAACATTGAACGTAAAATATTCACGAGTCTTCCTGAAAATTAGTATTTAATCAAAGAAAATCTGGCAACTGATGAAGGTCCGTACGGCGTTTTTCCTTAGCACACTTTGTACGACGAACTTTTCCTGCGTTTGAAACTGCGGGAAGAAAAGAAGTTAGCAAAGCAAGAGATACACCACTAGTCTAGCTCGCTCTTGTGTTTTGGCCCATTTGAAATTATTGAAGGCGCTTGTTGAAAGCACTTTCCCCAGTTTGTGTCTGATCTTATTTGATCCAAATAATTATTGATGGAGTTTTCGTTCTGTTACAGGATAACTACTGGCTGAAATCGAGGTTACCGAGAGACATAACTCTCCATGAAGTTCGAACTCCCTCAATTTTCGGACACCTAAGCTTCACGCTGGACACCAAAATCGATACCCTAGTTTATAAGCACATTGTGAAATTCCTGTACGACACCTCGTGACATCAGAGACCCAAAGACGAAATGAGACTGTGACGTTGCAGAAAATACTGCCATCTTGAAGATGAAGTCATGCTGAGCCTCGATCTTAGCCACATGCTTATTGAATCTTCATTCGTCGTTCATTTGCCAGCTTTAATCAACAACGAATCCGTTCAAGCTGAGAAATCGCGAAGCCAGATTGGTCTTGAACTGAAATTTATAATCAAAATTAGGTGTTACGTCCCTTTCATGGGTACCATACTGCCGTACTAAGGAAAAACGCCGTATGAACATTCGAGAGTTGCCAAATTTCCTCTCTGAAAATAGTTATTTTCGAAGAACGCTATGAATATTTCTCCTTGAAATTTTCAGGAACTTTAGGTGAAATTGAGTACAAAATTATCGGGAAAATTGGAGGAAGAATCTTTACAAATTATCTCGAAAATTGATGATTTGCAAAAGAAAATTTGGCAACGTCTGAAGGTTCATACGGCGTTTTTCCTTAGCTCGGCAACATAGGGTTCGAGTTTAATAATAATAACTTCATCATTCCAGAGTTCTTTCATTATTATTTAAAATAAATGAGGAGCTCTATTTGAGTGGTTGGAGTAAATTTATTGTTTCTCAAAAAAAGAAAAAAAATTAAAATAAAAAAGTTTCGTCGGTTAACCTATGGTATGGCTAGCGTGATATAAAGGCACCTACTGCTGTTTTTAGTTCGAAGGTATTCCTTTAAAAACAAGTTCGAAGGAGAAAATACTTCAACGACTAATATTTTACTTTTTTTTACGGATCATTTTTATTCAAAATCAATTTTTCAAAAATTTTCAGTGAGATTTCTTAAAATATGACGTAACAATTCGTCGCTTGGCTAACATAAGGGCGTAACTGCACATTGAGATGAGCCCGGAAAAGCATTTAAATGCATGGAAGACAGGGTTCATTGCAGAGTGTAGTTACGCCCTTATGTCAGGTAGGCGACGAATAATAGGCGCCTTAAAAATAATGTTGAAATGAAAGAGGGCCTTAACTTTTACTTATAAATTACTCGACTGCAATTTTGTCTCTGGCATATGTTTCAATGTGAGCCATTCTTATATTTTACGTATATCTCCGTATAAAAAAACCAAATATATAAATGCACCTCTGGAGGAACTCTGACGAGGTCAAAATTGGAAGGAAGAGGTTGTATACCCAGGTTATACACCACATTAGAAGAGAATGAAGAGTGGCAATAAGAAAGCATTTCTTCAGAACAGCGTGAAAACTGTTATCTCCTTTTTCCCGTTATTTCCTTTTTTTCTTTTGTCAACTTATTCTACTCGCCACCAATACATGAAATTTAAATTTTCTGTAAATAAACTGAAAAATTTCTCTTATTTTCTTAGCTTGTGATCTCACTCTGCCTAATATCCCGTAGCATAAATTGATGAAAATTAATACTTTGTAGTTCTCTATATTTTTAATAAAGGAAAAAAAAATGACAACACCGTGCCGAACCCTGCTGGGGTTAAACAATCGCCCGGCGAGCGTCTGGCACGCTTCATCAAAGGAGGAGGGGCTTTCGGGGAACTCTTTCTCAAATTTCCGTGTGCGTAAACAATATCTGCTTTTATCGATTCCGGATCTCGAAGAGGAAGATGCAAGGATCCGATCCGCAGACAGGTGCTCATGCTGGTGGGCTCTCAAGCTACGCCACGGGCCACGCTACGCCACCGCTAACGCAGCCTCCGATCAAGATAAAATTCAGTATAATTCATATTTCAATGGGTTGTTTCTCAATGGGTATTAATCCAATTCCCAGTTGAGCCCTGTGCTATACGAACGTACTTATGCCAAAAGGAGCTATGTTTCACGCAAGCCCCATGCACATAGTCCCTTTTAGCATAAATACGTCCACGTAAGAATAGCGTTATGGGTCTCATCTGGGCAATGGACTTGTACTCTTTTAGAGACGATTCGTTCATTCAGAGATGAATCACTGCTGTGGGTTCAGGAGAATAGGTGTGGACAGCCCTTTGGCCATAATCGGCTGCTGGGAGAGGTACTATGATCGAGTATTACGAGCTTCAATTACATTGGTGCGCATACTCTGCTCTCTGCACTGAAAAAAAAACTGCTAAAATCAACACGTGAAATAGTGAAAAAAGGTGACAACTCATCAAAATAGATTAAGAACACCGAGTTGATTTTACTAATTTGGTGATTTGTCAACGTATTTTAGCAATTTTTTTTTTCAGTGTGTGAATCGCGGAGGGAAAAGGATGGAGGATTTGACCATGTTTTTTGCTGGTTTTGGTAATAGTCAAGTTGGTGGAGATGGCTTAAATTTGATAAATGTTATGGGAATTTGTTGGGTCGACCATTTTTCAAAGGCAACGAGAGAAGTAGGACAAATCGTCGCTCCTCTGACGTAAGGGCGTATCTCGATTTCCACGTGAACCCTGTTCTCCATATAACTCCATGCTTTCTAGGGCTCACGTCGAAATCGAGATACGCCCTTACGTCAGAGGAGCGGCGAAATCAGCCTATTCTCAAAGCTTTAATACTTGTACAAAATACGTCGTTTCACGACTGAAAAATGTAACTACAATTGTTACCGATGTATGTAGGAATATAACTGTGCAATACTACCACACCTAGAGGAAGAACACCGCATGAGTCTTCAGACGTTGCTAAATTTCCTCTGACAAATTATGAAAAGAAATCTGTGATTATCTTCCACCAATTATTCAGAGAAGTATATTCGCAATCAGATCGAAATTATCCGAAAATTTAAAAGAAAAATATTCATAATTCTCCTTTAAAATAGACATTGAAACTTCGGCGAGAAGCTCGAATGTTCATACGGCGTTTTTCCATAGCACGGCAGAATACTGCCGTACTAAGGAAGAACGCCGTGTGAACATTCGAGAGTTGCCAAATTTTCTTCGATAAAATGTTCTTTTTTGAGGAGAGTTATGAATATTTCTTCTTAAAATTTTCAGAAGTTTTAGATCAAACTGCAAACAAAATTATCTGAGAAATTGGAAGAAAAATATTAACGACTAGTGTTTTTTTTTCAAATGAAATTTGGCAACGCCTGAAGGTTCATACGGCGTTTTTCCTTAGCACGGCAGAAGAGCTGCCCGAATCATGCTGATTTTACATGTAATCAGATGAAAACTCTGCCACATTTTCAGTTAAGAACTTGATAAATACAATCTGGGAGCAGGCGTTTCGCTATGTTGAAATGTAGTTCCGTACTATTGTCCGGGCGACATTGGCGGATCCAGCAAATTGGCAACATCGTCTTTCCTCCATTTAAACCTATGGAAATGTATCGATTCTTGGAGGGGCCATGTGCTCCGACAAGAATCGATTTTTTAGCATAGGTTTAAATGGAGGAAATCCGGGGTTGCCAAATTGCTGCTCCTGGCGACCAAGAATCCAGTTGTCTGTAGATCCGTGCACGGGCTTAGTGCTACGTAATCTCGAGGTATTTTTCTCATGCTTACACATTTTGATGCGCAACCAAATCCTCAACGAATATTACGAAACATTCGTGGAGAGACTACGATAATCTTCCTCCATTTTATATGCATCGAAACATGTCGAGCCGCTACATGAGAAGAGAGAGATCAGAAATGGGCTTCAGAACTTGTTCTGAATAATTGGATTAAGATTGTTTCCTTCTTGTTTTATGCTTATTCACACCTATCCTGTCACTCATGTCAGCTTACCAGGGAATTAAGTCACAATATTCGTGTGCGTTTGTGCGTCTCTCGCTATCAACTCAATATGTTTATAAAAGTCAGCAACTTCTGACTTCTTCTTCATCATTTTTCGGACGATGGAACGTAACCCAATTCCAACGTTACAAATTATTCAAACCATTCAATTGCTCGCAAGAATTTTCCAAAAATTTAGCCCACATGCATGAAACTACATAATTTTCATTATGTTGATCCGACATACCGATACATTTTGGCAAACGCATTCATCAAGGTACATCACAAAACACGTAGAAAAAAACAAAATTATGTATATTGGTTGTGAAAAAGACGAGATGTGAGAAGGAAACGACAATTAAAAATGATTAAAATTTAAAGCAATTAAAATTTTGTGATTTCACGCATCTAGACTAAATTTTTGGTCAAGTCACATTTAATAGATGAAATAAAGCAGAAATTCAAGAAAAATAACTTTCCCTCCACTGTGAGAGTAAACTTCGTGCTGAAGCCTTTAGACGTCACCTTGGCTTACCATCAATGGGCATCGTGCTTTTCTACTCCAGCGTTGAAGTCCCTTTGTGATAGACTCGGAACGGTGCAGTGTAACACAATGGTTACAAACCGTAGACCCTATACTGCGCGTGCTATGGAGAAACGCCGTATGAACATTTAGGCGTTGCCACATTCCCTTTGATAAAACACGAATTTCCTAGTAGATGTATGAATATTTTTCTTCCAATTTTTAAAATAATTTTGTTCTCAATTTAACCTAAAGCTCCAGAAATTCTCAAAGAAAAATGTTCATAACTTTCCTCAAAAGTAAACCTTATATCTAAGGAAATTTGGCAACTCTCGGATGTTCATACGGCGTTTTTCCTTTGCACGGCAGTATACCACACAGACTTATGACATCACCTTGGCCTACCATACATGACGAGTAGACATTCAAAACCTGGCGAGCGTCATCAGGTTATTGCTAAAATATGCATGTTGCTCCTCAGCGTAAAAGATCCCGTTTCCATTGAATTTTCATGCGGAAATTTTCTCTAAATTTGGTCTATTAGAAATTGATGCCCCATGATAGGCACCAGATGGCACTTACCAGGTATTGAATTTCTGCTCTCCGTGTAAAAAAGAAAATTCACACTTCCTCAGCTTCTCGTTGCTCTCACCTGAAAATTTCAATTTCGTACGGTTCAATAAAAAGATTCTGAGGTTTTGAAGTCAGAAGCTATACTGCCGTGCTAAGGAAGAACGCTGTATAAACCTTCAGGCGTTACCAAATTTTCTCCGCTAAATCACGAAATTTCGGGAAACGTTTAAATATTTTTCTTCCAAATTTTCAGATGTTCTGTTCGCAATTTCACCTAAAGTTCCTGACAATGTCAAGGAAAAATATTCATAACTTTCTTCATTACTAAACGATTTATCGGAGGAAATTTAGCACCTCTCGAATGTTCATACGGCGTTTTTCCTCAGCACGGCAGTAGAAAGCACAAATCGTAAGAGGAATGGGGAAACAACTTTTGAAAAGCTCGTTTCCACACCACCTTAGGAGAGTCCGATCAGGTAAATGATACGGTACTGCTCCT